AAGAGAGAGAGAGAGAGAGAGAGAGAGAGAAAACAAAAGTGTGAGTGGTGGAAAAAATGGAAAAAGTACTAAACCAAAACAGACTATTATGCTATGCATACTTAAGTTCTTAATTTCTTCAACAGTAATAGGTTTGTTTTTTTGCATGCTTGCTTGCGGTGATAGCCAGAGCAGTGCAGCTAGAAACAAACAGACATTTAACAAAAGACCAACAATTTACCAGGCAGACTGAAATGGCTCAGTAAAAAGATTGATGAACAGGTAAATGTGAATCAAAACATATGACATTAATTCAGCTGCTACATTCTCATTAGCATCAGTGAGGACAGCACTGCATATCATATGACACAAAGGCATGGAAAGGGAGAATTTGAGAACTCCACTGATGCTCAAGTCTCCAGACAGATGCTGCAGAATGGAGAGGAGGAGGAACTGGTTAGAAAGTGACCACTGCTGAAACCAAAAGGAACATTTAGCAGATGCTATTATTCACAGCAACTTGCAGTTGGCCATTTGCTGCAATAGACCCTCCAAGTATGTCTTAACTGTCTTGCTGAGGGGCTCCGCAGTAGTAGAGAAGTGTAATCTCAGTAACTCATCACCAGCAAACAAACTCCTAGATACCTGGGAGGCCAACCCTTTCAGATGGTACCCCAAGTCTTTGTTTACAACTTTACAGGGATGTAAAGTGGAATTGCAGGGAAAGAAAAAAAAAAGAAAAAAACAACAGGCCTCATTCATTAAACACAAGCAGAATTATTATTTTTTTACGCGCAAATCATTTGTAAAACTGTTCTGAAGTTTTCAGATTCATGAAAGTGTTCGTATTTTCAAAATGTTAGCTGGTATTAGATTACTAGTCAGTTATAAGCACCACTGGTATCTGCACGTTTAACTATCAATTCTGAGGTTTACGATACATTACGATACAATCAGGCGGACAGATATCGGAAAGGTCCATTTACTCATTTATTTACTAAAGTTTCATGAATGAGGCCCAATGTCTCTTTGAGGTCTGGTAGGTCTAATTTGGTTTAGCAGTGTGACATTGACAGCCTGCAATTCACTGTGATTTACAGTATATGTTCTGCAAGTCTTTGTAAAATGAAGGGTGAAAACTAATTTATATTACATATTTATAACAGCACATTCTGCCCTAGGCATAAAGACACTCATTCTGAGTTATGAAGGCTAAGATGTGGTTACTGCTATTGGATGTGTCTCAATGACTGTTTATACTTTTTATAAAATAAAAGTTATAAAAGTTATAAAAAAATATACCTGCTAATCGTTGTTATATTTTAATGGATTTACTTCAAATAAAAAAATCATGTTAACCAAGTAGTTTTTCTAAAATGCTTTTATAGAACTGTCTGTTAAACCCTGTCATGCAGTCACAATTTTCTTTTAAAAACAATAAAATTTAAATGATCTGTGATGTCATATAAAAACATTTCTTTGAAAAATTACCACATTTTTAAATAGGTTTCTCTTGGAGACTTTATCAACATTTCATTGTTTACACTTACACTGGGCTCAATAAGTTCAAATTTAACTCAGTTATGAAAAAAAAATGATTTTGGTAAAAAGCACAAGAATACTCATTGTAAATAAATGGAATTCACTGTCTATGGTGGTTATCAGTGCTTTGGGCCTGAAAATGTGATTTCTTTCAAGTTCAGTAGTAACCTTGTTAAATAAGATGGGAGGGGGGACATTTCCTGAAAATGACCCATGTACAGTATCTTTAGACCTTTTCACACCAAGTGTGACATTAAAAATGTTGAATAGAAACAATTGATTCTAATGCAGCTATTTACACCTGGAATTAACTTTTGCTGTCAATTTTGTGTTGTGAGTGTGTTGAATATTTTCTGTTTCACCTGGTGATGAAAGCACACCAACCAAAAAGACTGACTGCATATGAACTACCATTTAAAAGTTTGGGGTTAGCAAGATTTTTTTCAAGTTTTTGAAAGAAAATCTGTTATGCTCACTAAGGCTGCATTTATTTGGTCAAAAATATTGTATGTATGTATGTATGTA